ACGATTACATTGCCCCAATCTCCCGTCAGGAGTTTTTGGAATGGTGCTCCTGTAACGATGTTACGGAAACAGCCTCGGGAACATGACTTTGGAAGCGCCAACCGTAGCCAATATGACTTAAGGCTATAACGAATAAATCTACTGTAAAAGAAGACAGAATCTCACTGTGATAGGGCCTGATTTTGCGGTAAATGACTATCGAAAACCATTTATATGTCGATGGATAGTATCCACCGTGCAAGATAATGTCATTAGTGCTGTGGTGCATTAATAGGGACGCTCCTTGTATAAGATATCCCGGATAGGGAATGGTAAATTAGTAATTTCTGGATGATTCTGTATAGCTGCTATGAAATGTGTCTAGCGTTCCGAGCTTTAAAGGGTATGAGTAGTGAACAAACAGTTCACATTGTCAACACATTGCAACAAAATAAAAAGCAAGTCGATACAAAAAAAGAAGAAATTGATGAGACACAAATAGACGTAGCCAAAACCAAGTGGTACTGAAGTGTAGGCATTTTCTTACACCACATGTGGACCTTCCTGAATGCCTCCAGATACCACATTTGGCACCCTTTCCAATGTCTTCAGACACCACATTCGACACCCTTCCGAATGTCTCGAGACACCACATTTGGCACCCTCCCGAATGTCTCGAGACACCACATTCGGCACCCTCCCTAAAGTCTCGAGACACCACATTTGGCACCCTCCCGAATGTCTCCAGACACCACATTTGGCACCCTCCCGAATGTATCCAGACACAACATTTGGCACCCTCCCGAATTTCTCAAGACACCACATTCGGCACTCTTCTCAATGTCTCCAGACACAACATGTGGCACCCTTCTCAATGTCTCAAGACACCACATTCGGCACCCTCCCGAAAGTCTACAGCCATCACATGTGGCACCCTCCTGAATGTCTCCAGACACAACATGTGGCACCCTTCCCAATGTCTCCAGACAGAACATGTGGCACCCTTCTCAATGTCTCCAGACACCACATTTGGCACCCTCCCGAATGTCTCCAGACAGAACATGTGGCACCCTTCTCAATGTCTCCAGACACCACATTTGGCACCCTCCCGAATGTCTCCAGACAGAACATGTGGCACCCTTCTCAATGTCTCCAGACACAACATGTGGCACCCTTCCCAATGTCTCCAGACACAACATGTGGCACCCTTCCCAATGCCTCCAGACAGAACATGTGGCACCCTCTCGAATGTCTACAGACACCACATGTGGCACGCTTCAGAATATCTTTAGTCAACTCCTGGAACGTTATAGAGGTAACCAACAATCTAGGACACAGGATTAAATCTTTAACATTATAAACTTTGTATAGGTTAGAATCTGGTCATTATGGGTACAATGACATTTCGGCACCGTCGGTTTAACTCTTTCAGGTAGAAAGCCATGGCTTCAACGTATAAAATCCTTATACTTTCGAACAAAGCCCAGAATAGTGAATTTCACTGGAAACACCTGTCAATCAATCTAAGTAAAACCCGAGTCAGGTCTCGGTCTGAAAATGGAAACTGGGATAGTGCCAACAAACCATTAGGCGCCCTGCCCTGATGCTCATAATCAAAACGGCGACATTCATATTGCTTTACTAAAATATTTTTTTCACGTCGAGATCATGATGGCGATTATAAAAGCTTGCCTATAATATCTTCCTCAACCTGCATCTCTGGAAACCTGTAAAAGTCTCGATATTCTCAGTGGGTGTGAAAGCAGGGATGATACTTTCGAGAAAATGAACGTTCAAGATCGGAGAATCGACATAATGAAATAACGAAAAAAGAATGACACTCCTGCCATACACTTAAGTAGTAAGCTATCCCTAATGGTCATGCTGTAACTCAAGGTAGAGGTATGCGGTTAGCAGGATAGGATCAAATTCCCCATGCACAAGGGGACACCGTCAGAACTTAAAAAAAAAACCCGACAACCAAAGGAACTGAGGCGTAACTAAAAACAAAGGAAAGACATGGTTAACACACCAAAGAAAAAGTAGGCGAAACCACGTGTTTCGAAAAAACCCGGAATGACCTATCCACTAAAATCCTGAACATCCTGTATAAGTGGGTCATCGACAATATAAAATAAGGCCCAAAAGTCTATTTACCTGAATACTGAGGGTGAATTCATGTTATAATGAAGAAAATAACAAACGTTTGCTGTAAACTAAAAAATTAACGGACGTCTAATTAGCTGATTGGTTATTGATGCATCGTGTTTGAAGTGCATAAAGGATGAAAAAAATTGTTTGTGAATAGTTTTATTTTAAATGTCATTACGCTGAAATGTCAAAATCTGGACCAAAATCTAGACAAAGTGTCATACTATATGACCGGCCATCAGATTCCTTAACTCATTCACCCCTGAAGACACATTTGAACTCTTCTAATTCAAAGCCTGGAATAGTGCATGATGAAATTTCAAGGGTAAATGAGTTAATTGAAATTACTAATAAGACACTGGCGAAAGAGAGTAAATAAGTGAAAAAGATGAGGTTCTCGGGATTAATCGGTATGACAGTAAAACCCCGGCTCTGCTGGGACGCCACATTATTGACAGATGCAGCCAAGCAAAGCAATTTCGACATGGTACCGACAGACTGGAATGTGACAACACAAAGCCGGTTTATTTTTCTATGAGATAAAATGATGAATTAAGACAATTAGGCTTGGCAGGTAAACAGTTTTAGATAAAAAGAAGATATCATCGTTATATAACCTGGAGTATACGAAACATGGACAATGGGAAGTAACTCTATCGGTCATATACGAGAAATACAAAAAGACCTGCACCCTCTTGACTTGTTTACTAGTTGATGCAGGAATACGAAAAAACTCGAAATTTCAAAGCACAATACGGCAATTTCGTTCATTTAGGACCCATCAGTGGTACGCAAGTTAAAAAAACCCCATTTAAAGTGTAATCCATGCCAAAATAACTCCATCTACATGTACAAGCATACGGCCAACCTTTGGGAAGTGAGAATAGACTCGATCAGATATTACTAGGCCTACAATTATGCATATTGCTTCAAGGATCAATGTGCGTTTGATTATGTTAAAAAAAAAAGTTATCCTTCGAAACGACAATGCCCTATCTGAAATTTGCGTTTATGTAGAGATATATATTTAAATGCAGAGAAATTATGAAGAAATTTTAAAATGGAGGGACATATTGCATTATGTAATAAGTATCTTTTTTCTATATTCCAATATACCACATACAGCCGTACCCTTAAAAACTACACAATAGGCAATATTGTACTATGACTGAATATTAAAAAAGTATGATATATGTCGACTCAGTTTCAATAGGAGAAAAATGTGAAGTGCAACAAAATATATCTGTTTTCGTCACTGAATATTATGTTGTGTCATCGGGTTTACTCGTATGTTGCTATGGTTTGCTGAACTGACCTTAATTAAAAAAGCGATTCACTGTGTAATACTTATTGTGGGAAATATCACTGGAAATATTAGCAATCTAATAATGTCATGTAGTAATATAGCACGATGCTATCAGTTTCAATATTGTGTTAAGTAAAGTGTTTACATCTCTGATCGGAAGCTATTTCTTGATCGTTTTTTTCCCAATTAATCCCCATTACGAAAATATCATTTAAATGTTGGCCATTCATTACAAAGGATGACAATTTCCTATAATTTCTGTTTCGTGTTTAACCTCGTGCTGTCGATTACAGTTTCGCATGTCAGTATTATTTATAACCGGAGTCCGCTTAATGTGGATGATTGGTTTAGTTTGGTTTGGTTAAGTATTGTTTAACGTCCAATCAACAGCTTTGGTCATTTAAGGACGTCCTCCCTTGTAAACAAGATGTATGCGTGTGTGTTTAGGAAGGCTGCAATATGTTCGTGTTTGTCCCCTTGTGATAGCGCAAAACTGATGCCGACTTTATAGTGCTACCTCACTGAAACATACTGCTGAAGACACCTAGCAGGACACCCCACCCGGTCACATTATACTGGCAACGGGCCAACCAGTCGTCCCACTCCCAAATTGCTGAGCGTAAAGCAGGAATAGAAACTACCAATTTTACAGACTCTGGTATGTCTCGGCCAGGGGACAGAACCCAAAGCCTTCCTCACAGGGGCGAACGCTCAACTAAAGGCCAACTGTGAAGCATTGTCAATGGAGACATTAGGAAGAAGAAAGTTGTTTAGAAAGAAGAGAAAAGATAAGTTTCCAAATTTAGTCGCCTCATACGATCATTCAATGGAGGCAGCAGGTACAATTCTTACGCCTTATATGCAGGGGAAGATGTGGATAAACGTATCGTCGCAATGTACCGCTTAATATATTGTAGTTATCTCTTTTATCCTATTGCTTTGTCACATGTTGTTGCTATTCCTCTATATAAATGTCTTACGTATTTAGTTTACCTAAAAATATATAATATAAAAAAAAACAACAACAGTATATTGTATCACAAAAACAAATTTTACTAATGATGCCTACATATTGTGTGAACTTTCTAGTTCAATATTGATGCACATTTCGCTGTCTGTCATCACAAGGAACAAGTATTGTTAGCTTAACCTGAAATACGGTGAATTACTGCACTATGAATATGCGGACTTTTGTTTCCCAAATTGATTTAATAACTTTTTCTCATTCCAATTCATGTAGGATACAATTTGAAATTGACATATGAATAAATTAATTGTAATTACGAACTAATCAGATTGTATAGACATAATAATATAACATCAGTGCGCGTGGTTGATTAAACTTGCCTCCTATTTTATCCTTGATGAAACACAATAGAAGTCAGGGGTTATCGCTTTATCTCGGGTACCATTGGCTAAAATTAGAAATGTCCAAAGCTTCTCACTTTCCCGAGCGACGGAGTAATTTGGCTAAAATTAGAAATATGTAATTCTATTGTCCTTTGTAGACAAATCAGCACTTCGTGTTTTTGTGGAAATGAAATTGTAAATATCCTGCTTCCTCGTTTTTACGTGATATGACATAGGCAATGTTTACGATGCGAGTCGGATGTGCGATTTACTTAGGGCTCTACCTATTGGCGACTTGGACAAGTGAGTATATGTTTTTAATGCTTTTGATGAATCTTGTAATTTATTTATTTATTATTTATTACTGAGACTGAAAAAAACACTTTTTTTTTATGTTGCCAAATGTTAAAAATGAAGCTGCTGATATTTTGATTATTTACCTTAGCCAGTCATTCGTGAGGTAAAAAGCATTTGACAATGTTTGGACCCAGGTGAGCTGGTTGATAAGGGTTCGACTTCTTACGTTGAGGGCTAAATGTTTTGTATCTTTTACCGGGGTGTTATAATAATGGTAATGTTTTTGTTTATCCCGAAGCAGGCCTTGATAGAAGTACCGATTTTCTGCGTCAAAAAATAATGCGCAACTAACATTTTTGGTATGTCAATACTTACTTCGAAAATAATAGTCGTTGCGTAGATAATTTAACATCATCAACGAAACAAAACTGACATTTTTAAAAATAGTTCCAAGCACATGACCTCTTGTAAATTAATCTTTCATTTGTTTTTCAATATGATTTCAACTGTTTGTCATCAAAGGGCTACATGGGTATTTATGAATAATTTCCCGAGGTTTTTTAAATGATAAACATGACAGGGACAGTTTATTAAAGGATAAATATGATTTGTATTTTATATATTACAGTCATTTTAAAACTATTTGAGGTTGTACGTAACAACCTCAAAAAAATGATTTTCTTTTTAAATGGAATGAAGCGATTTATTTGGGTTTATCCTGCGAATCTTAGGGGCCGATTGTTTACGTCATCATTATTATGCCGTCATAAATACTACACTATATACCAAACCCTCCCAGTAAGGTGTCTGTGTGAGTCATTTAACATGAACTAAATGATTTTAATGAATATCTTATTTCATCAAATTGAACTATTTTAATAATGGCAAATGTAAGCATTGAACTGTTGAACTATTGGCATTCATAGCCAATATAAACGCCACTTGAATAAAAACAAATCCAACATGTGTTTTCGCGCTTTATTGAATTTTGCGTATGAATGTCAACAAAGGTCGTTAAAGCGTTCACAGTAATTATCTATTAGATGAATATTTTAACCAAGTATCGCAACAAAACATTAAATAACTAAATGCAATTACACGTACACTTGTACTGAATAATCAACATTGCAAATCACCTTTGTAATATACATAATCTAACTAATAACGTGCTGAAGAGCGATGATGACGTCACGCCATTGTGATTGTTATCATGCGTTATCACATAATGTAAACACTAGGGTCCTGAAGTGCCTACTCTCTGATAAACCAGATACTGTATGGACGATAACATTTCAACACCCATATTGGTGACCTCTGTTATTTTACAATTATGTACAAAGATTGGCTTATTTATAGAAAATTATTTTTATTTCGGTATTGCAAACATAAACGGTCTAATTATGACACTCGCTTATACTGTCAATTAAAAGTTATATTAAATGCATGGCATAGATAATGCATTTAATTTTCTTTTGAAAGTTTAGCATTAATGGAAGTTGCAGAAGTGAAATAGGAAAATACCGGTATACTATCGCTTTAATACACAACGACGAACAATACCCCATAGCGTCAATAAACAGCGACAAAATATACATAGGTTCTTGTTCATAGGAATTTATTACAAGAAATAAAAAAACCAATACAAAAAAAATCACTCCTTAACAATAAATGCACATTCGTACTTTATTGTACTACCTTTATACGGATACATATGTGACTTTGTGACAATTATACACTCCGTATGGAAATTCGTAGTATACAAGAGAATTTACATTAATTATTGTATTTGTTACAATTTACTATCAAAACCAAAATTTCCCATGGTCCACTAAAGATAAATAGATAGATCTGGATTTTGCACGCGAATTTACTATAGATTTTTATTTAGTTCGAGGGAAAATTGCTATGGCAATTGTCAGATGTTGCTGACAGACTTACCCTTTGAGCTAATATAATAAAACAACCGAAGTACAGTGTATACCTCCCCTGTACTTCTGGTATTTGTTCTGTTACAGACTGCGTGTCGTGTGAGAGGTATTACTACTACATCAGAAATGGCAAGTCCTGGTCGGAAGCACAGAAGTACTGTCAGGCTACGTTCAGAGGAGATCTATTGGACTACAGCAACATCGACGTATCCCTCCTGTATCAGCACGTGCCAAACGCGACCCTGTTTTGGACAGGTTATCACACTGGACTGTCCGATTGGATAGCAAACCAAGGTACTGTCCAGTTTATTTCATTTATTTTTTTCCTTTCGCGATTTGTGAAAATAATTATCCAACCTAGTTTGACACAAATTTTACCCTAATTGCTTCGGTGTCTAGGAAGATAACAAAACACTCGGCGACAAAACAATATTTCTCTATTAACGTCTATTTGTATAAAAAAAAACACCATTTTAAACAGTATTTACTTTGTTACTTTATAAGTGTGCCTTGAAGCTTGTTTTTCATTGCCCCGGTTCTGACTTTGAGACCATGATATCTTGGATTTGACATAAATTTAAATGGCCGTGTCGTCGATGAAATAAAAGACGGTGAGATATCTAAAACACCTTGTTAGATAATGACGTCATGTCAACTTCTCTTTATGACACCTTAACTAAAAAGTGATACAACATGTACAAATGTGTCATATCACAAATGAGACATGATAGATATTTCATTTATACATATTAATTTTATGCAAATCATTTAGCTCTCCATGATTTGGCAAATACAGCTTTGTGCTGTGTTCGTATTCCGGACAGTCCTTATCTAATAATAACCATCTATGTTATCGTGCAGTGAAATGTTTACGTTTTAGCAAAATAGCGATTTCGCAAAACATGTTATCTGGATGGTGTTGATCTGCAATAAGACAATGTGCTATATAAGACTTTATTCGCCTCTATGTTTTGATGAAGTGTTTAGTTCTGATCAACCAATCCATCCGTGATGCATGGATTATATATTTTTGGTTTCAGGTTGTTTCCCTGCCAACAGTATAACGGGCATAAGCCGGAAACCTGTTACACTGAAGACTTACAATGCAGCTTATTGTCAGTCCCAGTGTAAGGAATACCAATATTTCGCATTGAAGGTAAGACACCAGGCTAGACCAGCCCCCAAATTGCGCGACGGAGTTTTGGTAGGCAAGAATGGAACCTCCATCTAATGGGAAAACATGGTCTTTTGGATACTTGTACGCAATGTACTTGCAGATACGCAGTTGGTTTCCTCGTGCGTGCAAATCTCCCTATATTACGGTGGTTTGTCTGTCTGTACGTTGCGCTGTGGTGTGAAATTCCGATGTGTCTGATGTGTTTCTGTCTGATCTGCAGATCTTTTGAGTATTTTGTTGTATGACTGCTGCCTGTTTGTGTGTATATTTGTAAGGAATTTCTCAATGTTCGCTCCGTTCTTTGCAATATCTTCGTCTGTGTGGTGGTTGTTTGTTTGGAGTTTTGCACTCTCGCCAAAGTTGAGGTCATGTAAAACGAGTATGATCCTTTCCAAGGCACCTATGAACTGTTATGTCGCTATGTAAAACACTAAAGAATAGTAAATAATAAAAGATCAAACAACAATGTAATACAAATTTAGCAAGTCGTTACCCGTTTTGTGTTTTGTTACTATATCTGATGTATTCATTATACCTAGAACAATAGCTGTGACTGTCTGCATGCTTTCCCACCACGAACTGACTCAGTGCCGGACGACTTGTGTAGTATACAGTGTATAAATTCAACCTTCAACGAACCATGTGGAGGAGCTAGCGTCTACAATGTGTACGCAAGTAAGAACGATATGTCTTTTGCTGAAGGACGAAACAGCTGTATGGTGTAGTTGTAATCAAGTTTTGACATACTGTATCAAATGCCAAATGTTCAGGTGTGATCACATGTGCGTGTCTGACGTTCTTTCCACAAACCTGGAACTATTAATATATATTCACGCTTTGAGGTGTCCCAGGACTACACCCGATACGTTTGTATCCATTTTAGTATAAATCAGCGTACTATGTTATCAATAACGCTTTGGTAGTAGTAATAAATTGTTCAGTGTTTTATATTCAACGTAAATGGTGTTTTTCCTTGTTCTGTGGACAATTCTGGCGATTGATTCAAGATAATTGTTCAAAAGGTTTTCGAGAATGAATATATAATTTTTATAAATTGGTTTCATAACTAGACATGATAAAAAAATCCTAATAATGATGGTATAAATGTGAAATTTGTATGGTTACAAATTATATATACCGATTTCATGTAGGTGTTCACATGTACCATTTGGTTTTAGTTATTCATATGCAGGGATTCAAAAGTAATGTTTAAACTTTCATTAGTTGGGTCATGCGATGTCTTCTGCTTTTGAAACATCGGCAAACACAAAAATACCAAAATATGTTTTTTCACTGCAGAAATTTTGACATTTATATTTTTCTCATACCTGCTTTTTTCTATATGGCGATATCCCATTAAGCGCCTACTAAGTATCGTCACGGGTCCTTAGTTATCGCGGGGACAATTAACTCTGAACAAAAACTTATTTTTTCTCAGAGTCTGTATACCAGGATAAAACTACGTTGCCTTCACGCAGATGCATTTCCATTACGTGCAATCGACAGCCACGTGTCGCAGACGAGAGCCTACAGTACTTTGTTGAAAGCTGTTCTGAAAAACACACACCGTTATGTAAGTCATTTGTCATGTTCATTATAAATAAAGGAGTTTGCCAGCTGACATTCTCTCTCATTTCAAAGTGCCAAAGCAATGTATCGGATACAATGAAACTAATTTGTTTGGAATAAATTATATTGAATTTTTTAATATTTTATGCTATTTTTGTGTGTAGCTCTCAATAAGGAATATTCTTGAACATTAAAAAATAACGTAGTCATTTCAAATAATGATTATAAGCCATATCAACGCCATATGACGAAGGTTGACATCGGAAAAGGGGGGAAATTCAACACAAACAGAAATATATTTGTTCGACAATTGACATAATAAGCTTTTAAAACTTCTTTTTCTATTTTAGGTAGATATAACAGAACAAGTGAGTATATATATTTCTCTCGTTTCAAAATATCTGATGATCAAAACAAAAATTAGTAGAAACTGTGAATATCAGAAAGAAGCTATTTAAGAAAAGAAGTCAATCGATGAAGAACGCCAACGAATGATGACTGAATCTTATGTCTATTTGGTTATTTGTGAATCATCAGTGCTATTGAAATGTTTTATGAAAACATTCATTTAATGACTAATGCTGGGTCTTCTCCGCTTTGATATACTTAAAGGAATACATTGAACAATCTAACATACACTTATACTAAATCAAGAAAACGTATTCTCAAAGTACATTATTTTTGTTCTGACTGAAAATATTGATACAATATTTCTAATCATATTCAATTTATCAATATTCGTCACTAAAATATCACATATTGCTTCTTGATAATCCAGCCATAACAAATCTGGTTGTTTCATGATCAAGCTACTTGTATTCTTTTTATCAAAATATCCAGCCACCGCTCATCTTGTTGACGCGTTTTACCACAACCAGAACTCCTGTAGTCCCTCTATTCAGTCACACCTTATCTGATTTTCCTCTATATAACCACCACTGATCCGCTTGTCCATATATCGAGACACCACTTATCTGAATGCCCAAATGTCAAGCCACCACTAATAATGTTGTCCAATTATCCAGCCACAACTAACCTGAATTACTTATCTAGTTGTCCCACTATCCAGAACCATTTATACTGTTGTCATACTATACAGGCGCCACAAATCTGAATGTCCCTTCTATTAATCCACTACTCTTCTGAATGTCCCTTCTATTAATCCACTACTTATCTGAATGTAGCTCTGTCCAGCCAGCACTAGTCTAAGATTACTCTCCAGTCACCATTAATCTGTTGATCCTACTGTCTAGCCAGTAATAAAAGGAAAAACTTGGCCATTTTCACTACACACAAGTGTCACAGTAACCCAGTAACAGTTGCTGGAAACGAATGTTGGTAGACTATCAATGCCTGAGTGTGAATATATCTATTGTACATGCTATATCATTCAGCCGACAAACTCGTTGTCCTGAACCAAGCGACCACGTGGATCAGCGCTGTCTCAAGCTGTCAGAATTACAGCCATACCTACCTTGCTGCGACCCTGCGAACGGATTGTAACTATGGATACAGTGCGTTGTTTGATAACCGGTTCTGGATCGGTGTGTTCCGGGGACAATATTCAGATTTTATATCAGGTACAGTTGCATGTGACACAATAGTGTATTCCTTTTCTGCTGTGGCAGCTAGGCTATAATTAAATGATGCTCAGTGGCGGATCCAGAGACCTATCTGGGGTCTGGGGGGTGTCCAAATGTCTAGGGGGTGGGGGTCATAGTGGGCCAATTGAGGAAAATAGTGAAAATACATGAATTTTAAAAAAACACTCGTGTGTGTGTGTATGTGTGTGTGTGTGTGTGTGTGTGTGTGTGAAGCTTATTTGCGAAGCTACCACATGGGGGAAATACAAAAGTTAATACTATTCTTACAAGGAGTGTCATTGGGATGAAGTTGACCTGAAGATTGTCCACCCGCAAAGTGGAACCTCATATACTACTTTGAGAAAATATGAATAGTATTATTGCAAAAACTAGAGTAATACCACTCTCCATGGACAAGGTACTAAGATGTATGCGTCTTGTTGAGCAGAATATGTCGTCTTTCATATAAGAAATAGCTTTTATGATTTTGGATATATTTTTTTTTATCAATATTGAGTATGTAATAACCACTTATACATTATCTACGTGTCACTTAAGGATTACAACGTTTAATTTTGACCTTCGTGATAATTGACATTTCCGGTCAAACACATTCTCCTGATACGATTTAGCGACTCTTGGAAATGTGTTTCAATACGCAATTACTTCGGTCGTTTGGATCTATGATAGTTTTATCAATGCTTCCCTTAACAATAGAACGATTTAATATGTTGATATTGTTTTCTCGATTGGTTCCAGGAACACTAGACGGACTTGGCAACATACTGTCGTGTCAGGGTACCTATGCTCGTAGCGATGGTTCCTTATCCGGTTTTACTATACAGAACTGTCAGACAAAAAAAGCCTTCATATGTGCTTCTGGTACGTGTTCTATTATGTCAAGACTCAACAATGTTATTATGAAAGAGCTCAATGACATGATTAATCTTATTTATCATATACTTGTTGATAAAGAATTGGTGCATATATATGCCCTTGCAGATTCAGGATGTTTCTTCTATGCTATTTTATTATACATGTACAACAATTATTAAACAAATTATATAAAACAATATCACTCAATCTTGTTGGCCTCTGGAAGTTAGCGCCCAGGGGACCTTAATGTGGGAGGAAACGGAGTAACTGGATAAAACCCACGTGGTATGGCAGGTGACTCCATATCTTTTCACTTTCACGTCCATTCGGGGAATCGAACCCTACTTTTACCTACAATGTATAAGAATAACAGAGCATTTGTTCATTCCGATGGTATTAAAAGGAGTAAAATATTTCTAAGTGCACACAAATTGAGTTTGGAAGTGGTAATGTTTTTCAATTCTTAAATGGGTGTCTTGTGAAAATCGTATGTGCCTTTGCTCTGTATATTTACAAATCAATGTATACATATCAATACGCAACACATGCAGTTTTTAAATAAACTCAAAATTGGTGTATAAATATATTGTTTTCAAAGTAATTGTGAAACATATGCCGTCTTCAGAAAACATATATGGATCAGCATAACGGATCAACTAAGTACGTTTTTATTATTATAATGGTTTCCAGTTCATCGCGCTAGGTGTCATCCTACGTTTTTAAAAACAATGGTATTCAGCATTTCATGTCTGCTTTTTTCCTGCTTTGCACACGACCACTAACGTCAATAACTGATAGTGATGTCATATTTTAATTGATGCCGTGACGTTACAGAATTGGTTCTTTCCACGTGCTTCTTTTAAGGGTCGACAGAAAAATCTTGCGCATGTTTATCGGGAGACAATTATGTGAGTGTCAGGAGGAAATACGTGAAGTGTGGGGAATGGTTGTTTATTACTGTTATGAGATTTACTTGTCTATAAAAAGATGAATACTTTGTACTGATACTTCGTTATATAAAACCGATATGTTTCAGAATTTGTTTCATGAGAAAGCAGTAGTAATGTTGATTCAATGTTTTAATTTCAGATTTATTAATCGCTTCCCAAAATCCGTTCACACTGAACCCCACAACTACGACCGTTACCACTCCTACTACCACTCCTACTACAACCCCTACCACTACTTCCACTCCTACTACAACTCCTACCACAACCCCTACCACCACAACCCCAACCACCACAACCCCTACCCCTACTACCACTCCTACTACAACTCCTACTACAACCCCTACCACTACTTCCACTCCTACTACAACTCCTACCCCAACCCCTACCACTACTGCAACCCCTACCACTACTGCAACCCCTACCACTACTACCACTCCTACCACAACCCCTACCACAACCACTCCTACAACAACCCCTACCACTACTGCAACCCCTACCACTACTGCAACCCCTACCACAACCACTCCTACAACCACCCCTACCACTACTGCAACCCCTACCACTACTACCACTCCTACCACAACCCCTACCACCACACCCCCAACCACCACAACCCCTACCACTACTACCACTCCTACTACAACCCCTACCACTCCTACTACAACCACAACCCCTACCCCTACTACCACTCCTACTACAACTCCTACCACAACCCCTACCACTACTGCAATCCCTACCACTACTACCACTCCTACCACAACCCCTACCACAACCACTCCTACAACAACCCCTACCACTACTGCAACCCCTACCACTACTGCAACCCCTACCACAACCACTCCTACCACTACCACCACTCCTACTACAACCCCTACAACTTCTACTTCAACCACAACCCTTACCACTACTTCCACTTCCACTTCTACTACAACCACAACCCCTAACACTACTACCACTCCTACTACAACTCCTACAACAACCCCTACCACCACAACCCCTACAACTACTACAACTCATACCACTGCCACCACTCCTACAACTACCCCAACCACTACTACCACTCTTACTACCACTCCTACTTCAACCCTTTCCACTCCTATTACAACCCCGACCACTCTTACTACCACTCCTACAACTCCTACTACCACTCCTACTACATCACCTACCACTCTTACTACCACTCCTTTTACAACCCCTACCACTACTACCACTCCTACTATCACTCCTACAACTCTTACTACCACTCCTGTTACAACCCCTACCACTACTACCACTTCTATTACCACTCCTATCACCACAACTCCCACCATTACACCAACTCTTACAACTAGCCCTTCCACCACTAAACAGAACACCATGAGGACAACGTGGAGAATGCGGGCTACATCTACAAGAAAAATCATCATAACTACAGTAGCTACACTGGCGTCTGGTATACCTAGTGCCAATGTCGGCAATTTTCCTATGTGTAAGTCAGTTTAATACTTGTTACGATTCTGGTATATTGTTGTTAACTTATTTTATATCTATCATGCCGTGTTTTTGTAATCGCTATATGATTGTCATAATTGTGTTAAGTATAAGAACCAGATCAGTCTGTCAGTTCAGTTCAGAAGCATGAAATGCAATTTGCTGAATTGATAACTGAGAATGTTTGACATTAAATAAGAGGGAGAAGGAATCCTGTAGTTCTGGTACAATAGAACAGGACCGGTCTGTGTTCATCCAATTCCATTATCATAGAGAGTGCATAAGTAAGGGCCACCTTTTGATTAGGTTCAGTCTCTCCTACACTCGATGCCTACATAATTTATATCCTGTTCCATGCAACTTTACTATTTAGCTGTTCTTCCATGAAATCTTGGTTAACCCAGTGTCGGAATAACTCCAAAGAACCCAATTTGAAAACAAAGCAATGTGATTTCAAATTATGACAATGCGTATTTTTATCCTTAATCTTTTATTATGACCCGCGTGCCCGCTATCGATAAGCTTCATTTTTTTAAATTATTGCTTCACGTTTATAGATACGCTTTATTAATTTTTAATTAATGTTTGTGACATTTTTATTTTTTACAGCGGCAGTGGGAGGTGGAGTGGGTACTCTGGCCGTGTTGATTGTGGCAGTTATTATCTTTGTTGTGGTAAAGAAATCAAGGTTGGTATAATAAAAAAGTAGGAAGTAAACAATAAAAAAATGAAATACCATAACGTGTTTGCAAACACAATATGAAGATATATATCACATAACGCTTAAAGGATCAACCAAAATATAGCAAAGGGCGTCATGAACCCCTTTAAATGTGTAATCGTTATATTTCCACCTTCATTATTTTCTTATTCTTAATCTTGCCAACTATAGTTCGGCTTCAGCCATAGTAATAGGCGATCTTAATAGTATCCATAATGTAAAGATGCGATAGCTTTTTATCCAAGGTATCGAAATATTCTTACCATCAATATTAAAGTGAATTTCAAGATAATGAGGGATGTCAAGGAAACCATGCCAGATACATGTAGTTGGCGTTGAATCAAGAAAAAGATTTCAAAAAGTATAGATTTTGAGGAATTTAAATATTTTTGGACTGATGTTCAACTTATTATTATCTTTTTAGAAACCGGAAGAGGAACACATCGAACGGTACTCGGTTTACCGGCACGAATATTCCTTCTGAAAAAAGTGACAACACTTTAGCTCGAGACAATCCTTTGTATGACCATATTGGTGGTGGAGGTGGACCAGCAATGTTTAAAAATCCAACATATGCATCAGATAATTTCGACTCAAATGATAGTTATGATGCTGGACAACTGCAAAACGATGAAAACACGTATTCAACGGCGTCTTCAAGTCCGTATTTAACATGTTATCCGGATACATATGCACATCAATCAATAGCATAGCATATACACAGTTCATAAGTAACATAATCTTACTCATTAGTAACACATAAATAACTCATTTGGGACACAATAGTAAAGTTAAACAAAACCCATTTAAGTTACACATGTCATTCAATAGGAATATGAACAGTGTATATATTTATCACCTTTGTAACACAATATAAACATTAGTTATATACAATGTATATTATACATTGATAATTTAATCTTGCTTGTAACAATCATTCTCATTGGCTTAACAATTTATTTTATCAGCCCATAACGTAAAAAAATGACGAAGCCGTTTGTAACGTCGCTTTTGATTGGCTGATACAGCGGCGTAATAATTTCTAAGAGAAAATAGTCTAAAATAAAAGTGTACTTCCACAGGGAGTGTGTATAGTAGATTAAATTATAAGGATTCGCGGTTTATTTAAAGTACACTCCGTTTTTTGTGTTTTAGCTCCATAACATGAAAAATATATTCAAGTTAATCCTTAAGTAACACATACATACATACATATTGGTAACATACGTGACACAACATGGTAATACCAAGCATTCAGCAATTTACACCTACAGTGTTATTACTTGGAGCGGAGATTAATGCTGGGAATAGTGTTTGTTGTAATATATTATTTTCTCAAGACTAGAGGATACGTCCTTCGAGAACATGTTCAATATTGTAATATGGTTCATGTATTTGTCGTTTTTACAATGTAACATTAGGACTTGAAACTGATTGATAATAATTTTAAATACATTGAAACATCATTTACCCAAGTAGAAACGATCAAATCAGATAAATGTTTCTAACCTGAACATACGAAATGAAGGTTTCATAAAAGGAACTCTCCACATTATATTTACAGTCATTTTTAACCGTACAGACCAATTTACGAACACTGCTTATTATATGTGTACTTTGATGAAATAAAATGTGGTACAAAGGTATTGTTGTGAACAGTTTTGTGAAGACCAAAAACGTTGCAAGATGTTTGACAGTTTGAACCCTAAGCTGCTGACATGTTTTACATGTCAAAGTTGACACGCTATTCAAGACAAAGCCTTTTACAAACTACAGTGGCTTTCTGGATATAAGCGTCCTATTGGTAAATATACTACTTAAACAGGGTTTCCCACCAGAGAGGTTTCAAACTACTTTGACAATTTTAAAATATCAGGATATATTTCAAACCTTTGATAATTGATTTGCAGCCCTAAGTAAATACTTGTCCATTATGACTTAGATCGTAGGTGATAATCATACTCTCTCAGATTGTACGGGAGATCTCATAACGTTAACCTTTGTGCTGCAGAAATAGGTTGACATTCCGAGTATTTGGTGTTAGTCATGATGTTTTTTCTGCTAAATTTTGTTTTTTATGTCTCCATGGTTCCTGGTGGTTCTTAACTTGTTTTCATAACTTAAGTTACTGTAAATACGTCAAGTATTGTATAATTTGTATTTACATGTATATTTCAATCTTACATTTTTTTTCAAATGTCCCCATATTTATGAACAATAAGTAATCATTTGATTTATTTCAAATCATTAAATTCCTATATTTTAGATTACCAGGTTGGTCTTTACCTTTCTCATTGAATTCATTTTAGCACGGTAAATACGTAATAATATCTCAAAAATAACTAATATATTGCTTAAAATAAATAAATGTATAAAGTCATAAAGGTTTATAGGTATCTGTCCCTTTATGCTAGATTTCTTCATATGTTATGGAACATTTTTGATGTTCATTTCAGTCTTTGGATCCCATTTGCCTCTAATGAGTCGTAATTGACGTAATATCCATATGTTGGGGAAGCATTCACTTATATCTAATTGGTTGTATATTGTATTAAACCTATGTGTTTTTAGCTATGTATGACGCTCTAGCAAATATATCATATTTTCAATAGTTCAATAAAAATAATTCCGCTTTTAAATCGTTTCGTCCTCGAAGTAACCCACGATTTAATTTGTTTGTATTTGTTTTAACAAAATAAGTATCTAGTAACAAGGTATATTATAGGTTGTGGTATCGGAAATAATTGTCATTTTAATTACGAATCTACCAAGTGATTCTATTTTTCCTACGAAGTAATATTATTTTAGCATAGCATATTTAAGGTAATGCTTCAGAGAATATATAAGGCTAAAGACTGGTGTTTATAAAACAAATTGTAGATTGTTTAGAGAGTCTTACTACTAAACTGTACGATGAGCGGGACGATTTTGACTTTCTGATCGGGAACTTTCCCTTTCTTGATAGCAACTTTCCTGCTTCCCCTACCTACGGTGGCGGACAAACTTACAACACAGGGTATACACGGATGTCGGTTTATGAAGATTGTTGACAAGTTTTATGGTTGATCAGGATCTCGCAGGGATATGCGATATTAAGGTCAATGGGTTTTTTTCATATGCTTATTAGAGTGCCTTGTGGTTTTGTTGGTATTACCTGCAATGTTGGTGTGAGGACGTGATGATTATTCGAATTTGACTTAGTTTTACATGACGGGTGTAATCGATGAAGCAGGAGACGCTTACCCTTCCGGAATACCTGTCTATTCTGTCAACTAATTTAGTTTTTTCACCTGTAAAGATGACATTATCCAGAATAAACAGTGGTAATGCGTTGAAATGCATTAACCAGCAGTTTATGCTGTCCAGCGAGTCTTTATGAAATAGAAACAGGGATCAAGCAAATGCATATTGTAAAACGTCGCCAACAACTTATTATATTTATAATATTTGGAAAGACATTTAATTTACTATGTTTTTTTATCTTGTCATTAGTTTATTACTCTTTACTTTGTATTTGACTGCTTATACAGAATAAACATGGAAATAATTCCTTATATTAGACGTATAATGATAATAATGAGACAAAATAAACGTCTTAAAGTAATGGACAATGAACCCTTACAGAACAGTTCAGATTGCATATCGAATTTACTGTCACCGAATAAATGTCATGACGTAAGTAACTAATGTGAAATTAAAATCAAACGGACAACATTATAAGGTAACGAAATATGAAATTAATAGATCAATGCTTATAGAATAACTTTTTGATTGTCGAAATACTTACGTGAACTTGTCGGGCCGGAAAAGTAGTTCCGGAAAGTGTTTGTCCACGATCGCTGCATATGTTGGTTACATATATGTATTGTGTAAAGGTTTGGTGTCTGACGATATCAGCACACAATACGAGGATGCAATCCTCCAGACGCCAGCGATGTCTACATCTACATAAAATCGTTATCATAATTGTAAACAGCATTTTAGATTTGCGGATAGAATCTCTTTTCTTGCATACTAGACCGAAATACTCGCATTTCCGGCGGTGCTGGAAAGTTCGATTCGCCCCACAGTTCTAGATCGCTTACACGCGCAGACTGGCGGGGGAATTATAGTGACCTTTCGCGGTCACGCTATTCGTCGTGACGTCATTTGATGACGGTTTGTGGTCAGTCAGGGTCATTGGCGTCATTAACAATTGCCTCCGGGCTTCATATGCAAATGACATTTTTACTAGAAGAGCAGCTGTTTTTACGGGTTTTAGGTAATAAGCAAGAAATAAAATTCATCCCTGATGTGAGGTAAGGATAAGGTTATTCAAACCCTCGGGATAAAATATTGAGCAAAATACCCACGGCAAAGCCTCGGGTCTCCTGCTCAATATGTATTCCTTGGGTTTGAATAACCATATCCATACCTCACATTGGAGATGGATTTTTTTTTTTATTCTTTTACAAGCATCTACTGTATGCATTATGTGTAGCTGCAAATTACATGCATTTTCACTCTCTGAAAAAACATGTTTTGGTTAACTGAAATATTTCCCGTCAGCTACATTGTAGTAGTCTTTAACGTGAAGTCTTCAACAAACAATGTTTAAGCTTTACATTTATTTATGTCGTAAATAATATATATGCCAACTACAACAAGGTTAAGAATGTATAATACAAACGCTGTATATGCCTTATGTTTTTTTAAACGTTATATTCATTACGCAATTAATATGTGATAAATATGTTCTTATAAAAACCTAAGTTGAAAAAATATACACTGTACCATGACATCAACGCGTAAGGACAAATTCAGATTTAAAGCAACAATTAAACGTAAAAAGAGCAAAGTTAGCAGATGGAACGTCAAAATAAAAAATGAGAGAGTTAATGCGTCAAAAATGTTGGAGGCAAATGGTATAGCTGTGAAGAATAAACATTCCATGTACTACTTGTGACACTCATTAATTGCAATGTTCAAAGTTTCAAGGTCAAGATGATGCATGTTAGATAACAAAAAGGGGCCTCGGTGGCAAAGTGGTTATGGCGTCTGACATTCTGCTACCACAGCCCTCCAACATTGGGTCGCGGGTTCGAGACCTACGTAGAGCAGTCGCCAGGTACTAGCCGTAGGTCGGTGGTTTTTCTCCGGGAACTCCGGCTTTCCTCCTCCCGCAAAACCTGGCACGTCCTTAAATGAGCATGGCTGTTAATAGGACGTAAAACAAAAACAAACCAAAGATAACAAATACGGTCGATGATTAAAGAAATAACATCAAATACTTTCTGGCATGCGGCTTTTGTTTGTCGCCTGAAACATAAAGGGGGAAATATGTTATACATAAGAAATGCATGGGGAGAATTTTACTCATACAATCACAAAGAAATCTGATTAGGTAAGACAATAGTATGGCGTATTTGTTGATCGGTAAAACATAAATCCATCCACTCTGCATCGTACTTCAACTACTTTGATTATCTTAATAACTTCTGCTTAGAAATGAGATGTGTTGACAGCGGTCAATTAATTAACAGTTTTTAGTTTACAAATAATAACAAGTCAATGCTTTTGTTCTATTTTAAGATTACTATGCCAACACATTCATGCAAATAAATGAGTTAGAAATATTGAGATTAATTCATGAAAATATACAAACCTATTCCCTGATTTTATTTAGGCCAAAGTCATAGCCAATGGCTTCATTATCACGCCTGCATTCCCAGTTGCAAATTCAAACAGTGTGATTGCGACGTAAAAGACACATGTCATGTCATCAATTAATTAACAAAATGCTTTTGTTAAGAACATTTCTTATTTTTTTCTATCATTTTGTTTTAGACTAATGTCGATATCACTGCACCAGTGTATTTAATCAGTAATATAA